GTCAAGAGTCTGAGTCAGGTACTCTAAAGTTCCAATGATGCTTGGCTAAGGTCGTTGTCCTTGAGTTTTCCAGCTTTGAGATAATGTCAGGGACTTGAGGCTCACCGGAATAACTTCGGATTGCATACATTATACGAAGTTATACGACAATCTATTCTTAAAAAATAAAACATTAATATTTTCGAGGCCCTCTGTGTGCCCTCTGCTAGACCCCATGCCTGAGCATTTATGCTTCCTTCCAGTTTTCTCAGTTATAAACAGTGCTGCAGTGAAGCCGAGGATGTTCAAACCCTCTGGCCCAGGAATCCCACCGCTTTGTTAGATATTGCCTTCTTGTCCTGCAAAATGCATGAGCCCATTTACACTCTCCTCAGCAGAGCTGGGAGTGGTCAGCTTTTTTTCCCCATTTTTGCCTGTCTAACGAGTGTGGAATATTAGGTCCATTTTGTTTAATTCACATGACATTGATTAGTATGTTTTGAAACCATTGGATGTCGTTTTCTGAGAATCGCCCATTCATATCCTTTGGCCTTTTCCTTTAGAGCTATTTATAAATTCTGGGCCAAATCCTTTCTGGGTTATGTGCATGCCAAACATCTCCTCCAAGTTTAAGATCTGTATTTGCTACTTTGTTTATGATATTTTTAATGTACAAGAGAGTTTTTTAAAAATATTTTAATGTAGTCAGATTTTATCAGTCTTTTCATTTATGGTTTGTGCTTCTGATGTTGTGTTTAAGAAATCTTTTCCCAGCCTGAGATCATAAAAACACTCTCATTCATTTTCTCCCAAAACTTTTTATTTTTTTTTTTATTTTTTTTATTTTTTTGTCTTTTTTCCGTGTCCGGCAACGGATCGCAACCCTCAGTGTTGCCCCCGTACCGGACCGGGGACCGGCAACGGGATCGCAAGCCTTGGTGTTGCTCCCGCGCCTCGCTCAGCCAGTGAGCGGGAGCCGGTCTGTATGTGGGATCCGAACCCTCGGGCGGGAGCGCCGCCGCGCTTCCCAAGCGGCGCACTATCCAGTGCGCCACTGGGCCGGCCCTCTCCCAAAACTTTTAAAGTCATGCTTACTCATATGTAGGTCTTTAACACATTTAAATACGGTTTGATGTAGAGATCTAACTTATTTTTTCCATGTGGATAACCAGTGGTTCAATGCTGCTTGTTGAAAGTCTCTTTCTCCCACTGATTTGCGATGACTTCTGTGCTATACACAAATTTCCACATGTGACTGGGCCTGTTTGTAGACTCTATTCTGTCTCTCCCTGTGCTAAAATCACACTTTCTTATAACTGTGGTTTAATTAAGTCATGTTATCAGGGTGGAGTGAGTGAATCTTTATATGGTGAACTTCCTCCTCAAAATTGTCCTGGCCTTTTTTGCTCTTTGTTCCAACTCATACAAATTATGATCAACTTGTGAAGCCCAAAAACCTTGTTTGAATCTTAATAGAAATACATTCAATTTATAAATTGCATAAAATTAACATCTTTAGAAATCAGTTCTACAAACCTATCAATATTGTATTTTTCACTTATTTAGATCTTCAAGACTTTTAAAAATTTCATACATAAAGGTTTTTCACATCTTTTGATAGATTTATTCCTAGATACCTTTATATTTTTGGTCATTTTCACATATATGTTTTCTAAATTACATTTTTCTAGGTATGTGTAGCCAGTGAATAAAAATTTACTTTCTTATGTTTTTACTCTCCATTTAGGTACTTCTTTAATCATGAATTATTTAGAAAGTGTTTAAAAAGATTTTTTCCCCAAATATATGGTTTGGTTTTAATTTTTTTAATTGATTATATATATATTTGTGGGGTACAGAATAGAGTATCAATACATGTGTACAATACATGGTAATCAAATCAGGATAATTAGTATACTCATGTTTACAAAATGTAATCAATCTTTGTGACCCTTAATTAGTTTCTTGCCAAGCCCCTCCCACTCCCCCTTTCCCACCTCTAATAGGTTTGGTTTTAATTGTTGCTACTGGTGACTAACAGTTGAGAATGCTTAAGAATGCAGTCTGTATGATTCTTTGCTGCAATCAGGATTGTCTGTGACTTTGTTGTAACTGTATCATGTGTCCTTAGAAAGAATGTGCATTTCTACATTGTCTTTTTGATCAAGTTTGCTCACTGTGTTGTTCAGATCTTCTATATCCTTCCTTTTGTCATCGTAAACTATCAATTACTGAAAGAACCAAAAGAAATGTTTTAAATTATCCCCCATGACTATAAAACTGTCCATGTATCCTTGAAATTCTGTCAATTTTTTGCTTCATATAACTTGATGCTATGTTTTGGGTGCCTGTAAGTTATATCTTTCATGAATTGTTCCTTTTTATCTTCATTT